CGTACGTGTAGAGAGAGAGAGAGAGAGAGAGAGAGAGAGAGAGAAGTAGCGAAGTGTGGGAGGGGCGAGAGGTATGCTCCGCTGCCGCTGCAGTTCCTGTCAGTTCCGCTCCGCGATGCCCCGTATAAGCGTGCTTTCCAGCTCGTCCAGCATCGCCCGGCGTTGATCGAACGGCACAGTTTCCCGATCGTCAGCCCACATCATTCCCGAATTTCGTTTGTTTCCTCGCATTCGAATCCGGGCCCGTCGCCTCTCGGGGAAGCACTCGCACGCGGGGATTCTCACCTCCCTCAGTGATAGTCAGGTGCGCGTGCACTCGCAGGCTACGCCGACATCGACAGGATGAACTACGGGGACATGACGAATGTTGATCCTGCCAGGTACGTTACCGGGCTTTCCCATTTTTACACGTAATAATACATACGTCGGCTATGCCCCTCGCCCTCGACCGTCGAAACCGTGGCCGATTTCAAGTTTCGTTTCTCTCTTTTTTTAGGCGAAACTCGTATCTCGCGGAAAGTCGCACGATCACGTTTTATATATCATTATTACACATATAATACATATACAAGCGTCTGAGGCGAAAATTTGTTTTTCTTCCTGTATAACGAACGATTGCCCGCGAAGCCGATTGGCCAACTTTTGAGCAATATGGTCGGTCAAGCTAAATGAAATTGTGCTTGAACATTGTAACATAATCCCGGCCACATATGGTGGACCACGACGAGACCAGAAGCGATTTACAAAAAGCCGTTATTCGTTTGTTATTCGAAAAATGGGTCGTGAGATTTCAAGCATGTACTATTTGCAGGTGTGCCCCATTTTGAAGCGTTAGTTACACGAGAATATGTGGCCGCGCACGTTAAGGATGTATCACACCTATTTTCATTTCTAACGGAAAAAATTATGAAAAAATTATAAATTATTTTAAATCACATTTAAAGGTAATACAAAAAATTTTGCGACGATTTAGAACAGAAATTATGAACTAGAAATGTATTTTAATATTAATGTAATTAAAAATCTCGATTTTTTTTTTATACAGTACAGTACAAGTATTTTAAGTATTAAAGATAACTTATGTAAAGTTTCATTGTGATGCAGAAATTAATTGTTCTATAAATAAAAATTAAAAATCAGAATTTTTATTTACAGAATTTAATTTTTACTTACAGAGCAATTAATCTCTGCATCGCAATGAAACTTTACATAAATATTT